TCTCAAATACTTGTTTTCTTTTGTAATTTATTGTTGGTTCTGAAACCTCTAAAAGCTTTAAATCTTATTGCTAAGTTTGAAAACTTGCATGAACTAAACACCTCTAAAATTACAAAATAAGCCTTTAAGTATTTCTTAAGAAATTTAATAAAATATCAAATACTGAAAATGTCTCCTCCATTGTTGTAGAGTAGTGTGTGCTTATGAAGGGCATTATAATGACAGAATTAATGAAGCAAAAATAATGTCAATTAGGGTAAACCAACCAGTGAAGGAACATTTCATATATATTGATTAAAAATAAGAATTTGAAAGTTTTTCTTTAGATTGATTGGCAATAATAGCTTACTGCCAAACAATAGGAAGTCATCTAGCAATGTTTTGGATTACCTTGTCAAATGAACTTCTCTGGAAAAATTGTTGAATTTGTTTTAATCTCAGCAACACCTTGTTTCTTGAAAAAATTATAAGGTGAGAGTTTGTATTTATATGCTTGAAGTGGAATTAATTGCATGTAATAATTTTATTTTTCTCACTGTGAAAAAGAGAATTCAAAATATAGTTATTGAAGTTACGTTTTATTTATTTTTTAAGCATCATAGCATAATAAAGTACTTAGATAAGGGGGTGTTTATTCACTGGATCACCAAACGATGAAAAACCAGTGAAGGAACAAGTGTTCCTTTACTGGGTTTTTTTCTAAGTTAATGAAAATAAAAGATAAACTTTCATTTTCTTTTACCTTTAGTGATGTTCCGCATCATAAGTATGTTAAAAATACGAAAAACAACTTCTAACCAGTGAGGGAACAGGCATGTTCCTTTACTGGGCATAGATTTCCCAGTGAATGAACTTATGTGTTAATATGTTCACACTTTAATTTTGATTTCATGATTACAAAAAAAATTTAACATTTTCCAAGTATTTATACGTTATAATTTCAAGAATAGGCTTGTTTTTAAATATTTGTATGGCTTATAAATTCATAAAGAGCATTAAAAAATAACCAAAATTAAGTGTTCCTTTACTGGGTGTTCCTTCACTGATAAGAGCTGTTCCTTCTCTTGGTCTTCTTTCTACTTGTTATTTGAACCTCCAAAACTTTAAAACAATATTATGTAAGCTGTCTACAATTTTTTTACATAATTTGCAATTAGTAACAAATATGTTGACACTGTCATTTAACTAAAATTACCAATTTTGAAATTAATATGATTTTTTAAAAGGCAAGCGAAGCTTAAGTGTTCCTTCACTGGTTAGTTTACCCTATATGTATTTTTTTATTATTCTTTGTTGCCCGTTCCGGTGGCTTTATGTTATTAAATTAATCGAATCGCGTTTTTTTTTGTATTATTCATTATCAATTGGCATGCTTGCAATCAACTCAGGATAGTCGAAATAAGTAATTTTCTTCGATGCCTCTTGAAGGGGGCCGAATGACATTTATTATCACAGTATCGGTATTAAAACTACTCAGTATTGGTACGGTTTTAATAATTGCCAAATATATCACAATAATACCCTGAAGATTTCAGTATTGTGCAAAATAAAGCTGACATTTTAAAATCAAATAAAATTCTTATAAGACCTTAATAGGGTATTTAGAGCATTTAATTTACTGTTTGAAATGTTTATAAGTAGTGGTGGGAAAAAGTTCTTTTTAATTCAAAAAATTATTCACTAAATCTAATTTATTAAATTATTTATGCACTATCTTTGCTACCACTGGGAATACATTTCTGAAACAACAGAAAGCCGATAAATCGAACTCTTATCAAAACCTGTAGAATTAATTAAGCATAATCTGCAATTTCCCCTTAACGAATTTCCCATTCACTTTTTTCTCAAATAACTTTACATGCAGCTTTTTTGTTTAATTAATACATATTACCAATATTAATTAAGCGTTGAATTCAATAATAAAACGGTGATTTTTTTTAATACTGTTCCCCAAAACGAATAATTATCTCCATTAAATTTGCTTTTTAATAGATATGTTACTCTTTTTTTTTGTTTAAATTAACATACTATCAGCATTAATTAAGCGTCATTGTCGTCTGTAATGATATGGCAATTTTTTACGGTTACTCTTGAAGAATAAGTTCCTTTCAGTACATAGATTATTTCTTTTATTTTAATATGCATGTATTACCTAATTTAAGAATCATTGGCATCAATAATAGTATGGCGAATTTTTACGTTTCTCCTAAATAAATTTCACTTTTCCATTAAATTTGCTTTTAAGTACATAACTATTTTTTTTTAAAAATTTCAATTACCGTTGGTTTTAAATTATTTATTTTTATAGAAACACATTTAAAAAGAATTACACTATAAAACAAACTAAATAAAAATAGTGCGTGGAGTCCCTCCGCGCGGAAGAAGTTAAACTTCGCAACCTGCGACGGTAATAGTAGAAGAATCAGCAGTCGTAGAAGGATCACTAGTTCTATTCAACGACTCTTTTTCCTGCTCCGCTCGCTTCCGTGCTCTGTAATCACGGTAATATTGTGCATTTTCCCCTCGTGGACCTCTTGAACCAGTGGAAGTGCTTGTGGTTGCCTCATCGTCTCGCCCTGGAAAATGTATTTGTATTAATAATGTATGTGAATGCGTCATAATGTAATTTCAGAAGAGAAAACCTAACAATCAATTGATATTCACAAGAGACGTACCTTGACATAACCTTAAATCCGTCGCATTGTCCGTGGGATTGTTTTCACTCATTTTTTACAATTGTTATCCACTAAATTTGAAAATAAAAAATACTACCCTATTAAATTATATGTGTATCAAAACAAACTAAAAAAATATTTATAGAAAAACAATACTTTTATGACTTTTATTATTTTTATGCTAGTGAGAACCAAAACAATATGGAAATGAATGAGGGAAAACTGGATCCTACCTCGTGATTTCTCGGCCAATAAAAATGTAGCGTTAAACGTTTAACGCAACCTTGTTGGAAGTCGCATAAGAAGTATAACTTCAAAAACACGTTTTACTAGATAACTTAAATATTAACGCGATTTTAAAATCAAACATAGAGATTCGTATTCACACTTTTAAAACAAATATCGATATTTGTATTCATGCGACTTTAAAATCAAATATTGTGATTCGTTTTCACGAGATTTTAAAATCAAACATCGTGATTCGTATTAATACGTTTTTAAAATCAAGCAACGAGATTTGAATTCACGCAATTTTTTAAATTGAATGCGAGATTCGTATTCGGTTGATATACTTGGGTTAGATATTACAATATCGTGAGTAGAAGCCACAATGGCTCAGGGGATAGAGCATTCGCTTTCCAATAAGGCGAACCGGGTTCGAATCTCAGTCGATAGGAATTCCTCATCCGGCTGGCACCAAACCACAGTGCTGACGTAAAAATATCCTCGGTGGTAGACGGATCACGGGTTACAGTCAGGCTAACCGAGGGAGGTTCTGATCTTCTCCATATAACGCAAATGCGGGTTAGCCCCATCAAAAAGTCCTCCACGAAGGCAAATATCTCCCAATACTCGATCCAGGAGTTCACTTGTCTTCTGGATTGGGTTCAAAATTACAAGGCTACGGAGTTGAACATTAGTAATCGTAAACCCATAAAATTGGGTGGGCTGTTCAACGACGGTTATAAAATACAAAATATCGTGAATATGAGCCATGATGGCTCAGGGGATAGAGGTCCAATGAGGTGAATCGGGTTGGAACCCCAGCAATGGCTGGTCCATACGAATTCTGCATCCGGCTTGCACCGACCACAGTGCTGACGTAAAAATATCCTCAGTGGTCGACGGTTCATGGGTTAGAGTCCTTGCCGCCAGTCTAATCGTGGGAGGTTTTCCTTACCATGTAACGCAAATGCGTGTTAGTTTCATGAAAAAGTCTTCCTCGAAGGAAAAACTTTCTCTCAATACTTGATCCAGGAGTTTCCTTGTCTTCTGGATTGGGTTCAAAATTACGAGGCTACGGAGTTGAACATTAGTAATCGTAAACCCATAAAATTGTGTGGGCTGTTCAACGAGATTTAAAGAATAAAATATCGTGAATATTATACAGAGCGATAATTACTGAATACTATTGTCAATGTTGCTATTTGGGTAACATAAATATTGACACCAATGTAGAAATAGGATTATTATAGAAAATATCGCATTATATTTTTGACAATGCATATTGATGTTAAAATTTGTTCCCCTTTGTCATGAGTGGCTATGTTTATGTGGGTAACTACTCTAAAAAGCAATTGTTAGCATATGATCTGCATAACTGATAAGTGGAAGATGAAAAGTTGGGTACCAAAAGTGAATGTATGCCCGAAACGTACAAAAATTATATATTTGAGTTCACATAGACTTAGATAATTTTGGGTCTCGATATTAAGACAAGTTAATAATAGCGAAAATATTTCGTCTAGGCTTAAAAAAATTAAATAAAACTTGTTGGCAAGCTTAAGTCCATTTTAATTACCAATTGGATGCTTGCAGTTCGAAAAGAAGAAGACCCCCATACCCACACTATGACGTCAGCTAATCTTTATCAGCGAAATGGCTTATTAAAGTTGAGCTTCTCTACATAAGTTAGAATGTTAATTAACGATAAATTAATTAAATGCTGAGCCCTATCGAATTAGTTGAAATATAATTCTTTTATTTAACTTAGATTAATTAATTGTTTGTGTATTTTATTGTAACCTTGATATATTTTTGTTTTTTGTATCTGGCAACTTTGATGCATTATTAGTTTGTTTATGTTCCACGCGACTTAGTGCCTGTCTTTGTGTTAAGTCTCTATGTAAATATATAGTGAAAGAATTGAAATCTTTGAAAAAAATTCTTTGTAAAAGAATTTAAAACGCGTTCTTTCATTATTGTAGGGTAGTGGGTATATACTTTTTATCTAATTTTTCCTATGTGTGTGTTCTTGTATTACTGAGACAGATTTTATGTTTCATGTTGGATTTTGAAAGTTTTTTTTTTTCTTTTCTCTTTTAGTTCGATTACATGACAGTATTCAAGAAGAAGGTTACCATTACTTAATATTCGATTTGTGAGTATTTATTTCATATCTATTTTGAAACAAACATCACTAATTACTGTGCTAAGTATTGTGTCCTTCAGCGATGTTTCGTCTGGTCGAAATGTTTTGGGCACAAGATGGTGTCTATAGTTTATCTAATGTAAGAACTCCCTTAGCCATTCGTTTGAACCCTTGGCGGTAACTATGGTAACGAGGTATAACTATTTTAAGTAGGGATTAGCCCTAGAGTGAAGAGAAACTACCCTCCCTGAAATGCGCTATTCTTGTTTCCATAGCTGCAAACGGCCTCAGATTTTGTGGCGGGGGAGTTCTTACCGTAGACAAACTATACTATGTATGACTTGTTGGTGTGATTCTCGTATTTCCTTAATTTCCTCTGTGGACGTCTTATTTTCTCTCCCTCCCCTGAGAAATTTTTTTCAGCAAGATAGGATTGTTTTTCCGCTTGCCCTTTTTGAGATGAATGGCCTGTTGTGGGTCGAATTGGGTACTGATTCGATGAATTGATTCGGTGATTCGAATCAGCAATGTGAACTGATTCTATTGATTCGAATCACTTAGCTGATTCGTTTTGCCCAACTCTAGCTGTGGATGGAGCCTCTGAACTATTTCGTTTTATCTGTAAATATTTGTCTCAACTCAGGTCGAAACCAGGAAAGATATTTCAACCGACCATCGAGGTCTTCTTGTTTCTTTGTGAGCGAGAGATGTTTCAGAACCAGTATGTATTTAGATTTGAAGCATAGTAGCTTCAAATATTTACGTTTTTGGCTCTCAAATCAGATTAACAGTCAGCTACCATCGAGGCCCCAAAAATACTTTCTAGTTAAAAAGATACTTCCATACTTATAAGTATCAAATTTCCGGGAATCGAGGGAGCATCTAGTTCATAGTGAACTTCATCACGTCACCGAATGAAAAGATGACTAGTTGNTGTGCAGCTCTAGTGCGACGTAAAATAACAACAACAACAACAACCAGTCTCTTTGTTGGATAAAAACAAGATTTGCTGTTTCTTAAGAACGCAACTTCCGTTACGTCACTATTGTCCTGTCAGATTTGGAATTATTCTGAATCTACAGTATAATTTGAAAATCTAGTGGTGATCACTGGTGGCCAATCGCAGAAAAGTCTCCCGTTGCCAGAGGAATTTTTTCTGTGATTTGAGAAATTTCAATGCACATCAACCAATTTTCATCGTCAGTGACCAAATCCAAGCATTTTTTTACAATCAGTCCCTGTGGCAGAATTCGAGCTATCTGCAACAAAACTCTCTAGCACTAATATCTTTCTGCAAGATACTTTTAATAATAACAAATACATATGTGACTAATTTAAAATAACAAAAGTGCTATGTTTACAAAAAAAAACTATATATAAACAGTCAAACCCCGTTATACTGAACACGGCTTATAGTGAACTCCCTGATATGGGGAACGAAATGCTCGGTCCCGTGCCTTGTTATACACGTATTATGTTATTTTTAGTGGGTATAGTGAACCGAAAAAGTGAGGAAGTTAGATATAATGAACTTTTTTCTGTCTTCGACTTATTTCCCCCCCCCCATTTTCTTTGTAATAATTTTGAAATTTCTACTTCAAAATAAATACCTATACCGATTTTTAAAACCATCTATAGAAACTACTTTTATATGCTCGATAGGCAGGTTAGACAGGTTTAAAAAGCGGAATAACAGAAATTCAGGAAAAATTATCTGAGAGTCGGGAAGTGTTTCCATATCTGATGTTGAGGATTGCTCATCAGCTAATTTTTATTTGTACGCAAGACGAAGAGTGATGAAAAATAACACATTTTTTGCTACTACATAATATTTTTCAGTCATTTATATGAACATAATGTAATAAAAGGGAGGAATTTGGGAACCATCAGTGAAATTGCCTGCGTAACGGATATAGTGAACTCCCGGTTATAGTGAACCTAAATTTCGGTCCCTTGAAGGTTCGCTATAGCGGGATTTGACTGTATATTTAATTGAACATGCAATAATTTTTTATTCTAATATTATGGGTGATATTCTGGCATTTTTTTGGAGGGGGGGGGAGCACAAATTATTTCTTTCACCTCATTTTCTAAATAATCTTCTCAACAACAAAAAAAATAATTAAATAACATGAAATTCGTTGCAGTAATTGCCGAAGAAAAAGATCGACGACGAAGTCACGCGAATCGTAATCCTCAAAAAGGGGTTACCCAAATGCGTGTTTCGTTTCGAGATTAGGCTGTTGTAATAAATAATATCGTATAAAAAACATTGGACTTAAAAACTATTCAGAAATCAATAGCAATTACTGCCAAAAATTCGATAGAATTATTGCCTTAATAAATAAATACTTAAATGCACGATTCGAATTTTCCATATTGTTTAAAACGTATTGGGATATTTAAAAACCACGTGAAAATCAATTTCAATAAATGCCGAAAATACAATTGAAACATTACATCGATTTACGAAACTATCGACATAAATTGAGCTCGTTAAAAAATGATTATCGAAATGCACGATTCAAATTTTGCGTGTACATTTCTGTAGAAAAGAAAACTACAATTTTTTATTTTTCAAAGGAAAAATCTTTCTGCAAGAACTCTGTAACGCTCTGCGACAATGTTTCCGTGTCGCTGTGATTCTGCCACGGGGTAATAGGTTAATTAGTGCAATGTACCAATTATTTACTTATTATTAAATTATTATTTGGTGCATTTCAATTACCAAATGACGAATTTCCGTCTTATAGTTGTTGAACTGATGCATTTTCTTCATTTGGATGGATATATGTTAAAAAAAAGTAACTCTCGTTTTTTATAAATTTTCGTCGTTTGTTAAGGACCAGATATTTCGTTCATAAAGAATCTTGCCTTTTGCAAAGTGTACCTTTTTAATCTAAATAAACCTTATTTAACATATATTTTATACCCAATATGTTAATTCTTTTGTTCTATGCTAGTTTGACAATCATTCTGTGTAGTTAGTTATTATCTTCGTCTGAAACAAATTTACATAAACTAGTTATTCTAGAAGCTTCTTAAATTTATTAACTAACTACTATACGATTGTTACTATAAAAATAGTGCCGAGAAAAAAGATACAGCAGCCTATATTCTGTTGATATGCGTCTTCTGTTGTTTACTTAGAATAGCTGATTAAGCTGAACATTAAATTTTTAAGCAATTGTTGGATATAGTGCGCAAATGCGAAACTGAAATACCGTCCACAGAAGAGTCGGCATTTTCCCCAGAAGAAAAGCGGAGGAAACTGAACTAGTAGAAAATTCCAAAAATAATCAATAGAATTGTTAAGCAATAAATGTTATAATTTTTTTTTTAAATTTAAAGAATTCAAATTGAATACAGTACCAGAAATTTAAAAGTTTTTCACATACAGGTATACCTGTATACTCTTTTAAAAAAAATTTATTTCAAATTATTAATTTTAGTTTCATGCGAATTTTAAAATCTAGGTATCATATTTAAGGTTTAAGTTCCCGTAGTTTACGGTAATTGATTTTAAAAATTTATATGCAATTTGTATTTTTGAATTCAATATGTGGTTTGTTGGTCAAGAAGCACTAAATAGTTAAGTTTTATTTTATTTAGCGTTTTAAAAAAGTGCTTAAAGGTGCTTATTTTCGATTTTCGTTTTCTAAAAACCCTTAAAGGTGCTTTTTTTTATTGGTTGTTTTTAAAATGTGCTTAATTTTCTCTTTTCGAAAGTGAGATTTTTTTTTCTTTTCTTTACCATGTCGATTTTCGTCACGTATTATGCAAAAGCTTGCTTTTCACATTGTTCTATTCAACGTTTTCACAATTCATTCAACCACTATCTATTTCGGCGTACCGTCGGTCCATAGCGTATGAAATTGTCAATCATTTTACATATTTGATGAGATATTTGCAAGTCCGTTTGTGCATCTACTGAACTGAGTTTGGTGACATTGCACTCTCATGTGCAACTCTGCTGAGTTTTGCAAAAGATTCTCAATTTCTACCCTCTGATATTGAATCAAAAAATCTCTTGATTTAATAATGGTTAATGTAATAATGTACATTAATGTAAAGTGCTTCGTCAGAAACTAGTTATTTTATCATGATCATGTTAAGTCTTTGAAAATTATTTTAAGATATGATATAATTAAAGATATGGTGTAGTTAAAAAAGTAAATTGAATCATAGTTGTTTAAAAAATAAATATGCTTTTTAATCATATGCTTAATCATTTTGCTTAAAAAGTAATGATTTTACTTATTTATTTTAATTTTTATCATTATCGTAGTTGGCCAGACAGCCCCAATGTTGGCCAAAGCCTATGTGGGCATATAGACGATTCAGTTTAGTCACATATTTTAAAAATAGCATTAGTAATATTTTCTAGCTTATAGCTCTAATCAAAAAAATTTGTTTATTGCGCATTCTGTAATACTTAATTATTTTTTATTCGTTGTGCCGAGTTCTCTGAATGGATTATGCCACCAAATTGGTATTTCTAAGGTTGTCTGAAACAACGCGTTTATTTTGTTTATAGTTATGCTTTTAAAATAGGTTATTATAAAACTAAATAATTTAAAATCAACGGTAATGTGAAGAAAAAAAAAGTTTTGTATTGAAAAGCAAAATTAACGAAGTGATACTAATTCATTGAGGATAAACATAAAAAAAAACGCCAATATTATTATTGATGCCAATGATAATTAGTTTCGGTAATAGTTACTAACTGAAGCAAAATGATGAGATATGTAATATAAGTAATGTAAAGATAAAATTAATGGGGAAATGTTTTTAATGTTGGAAGAATGTTAATTCTTTCATGAGAGCGGAAACAATCAGCAAACTGTTATTGACATCAATATGATGCTTAATTTTGGTAACAGGCACTACTGCCATCATAGTGCAATTTTATAAGGTACCAAATATAGGTATGAAGTATTTTATGGGTAAACTTGATGCCGCATCATTTTCATGATGTAATTTTACCGCTTCTCGAAGAAATTATTCTTTTATTGAATTGAAAGTAGTAGCTTGTAAAATTTAAATATCCCGAGTTGTCTTATACAAACTGAATTTTTGATGGAATGAACTATGAATTACTAATTACTTGTTTTGCTTAATGTAATAGCGTAAAGCCACCTTTTTTTTTATGTATTTCCAATGGCAAAGGAAAATGACAAACTCATATAAGATTAGCAAAGAACAGGAATTAAAAAAGAATACTATAAGAGAAAAAAATTCAACGTCCCGTCAGCAGATGTCGCCCGTCGCTTCACCTCGGAGCCCCCACACAGAGCCGTGCATCCCAGCAAATAGTTCCTGTCCATGATTTCGGCTCTTCCACAAAGTGGACACTGGGCCCATGTCCAAGAGGTCGTGGGTTCGATCCCCGCCGGCCGAAGTCTCCCCGTGTAGTAAATGGCGTCTGATGCACGATAAATCTGTCGGGTCACAAAATTCTCCATGTTCCCATAAGAACTCGTACTTCTGGGGATGCAGGAAATTCTTTGTCTTCTGGATTGGATTTAAAGGGGATTCACCAGGCCAGTCATGGCCTACCGTGAGTCTGAAATCCGCAACAGCCTTTTCACCGGGCATATCTGAAATATTTTGGTCTAAGCTATGTATTCAATTTCCTGAGGAAACACGAGAAGTTCAATTTTTGTCTTATTAGATTTTTGATTATAAAGTTTTGCGGAATGAAAAGAGATGAAAGTGCTTGACTGTTGAATTACTTGAGTGCCCTTCTTGATCAACTTGTTCGTTGCCGTGAATATCGCAGTGTCCTGGAATTTATTTGGATTGTAATTTATCGTTCCTCAACTTCTCAAGAAGAACGTAAAGCCACCTAATAACAGTAAATTATTACAAAAATAATAATAAATAAAGAAGCTTTAATAAAATTATTTTGATAGTGGTCAATTTCGACTAGGTCATTTTAACTTCATAATTATGATGTTACAATATTATTAAGTATATTATGTGATTCACCCCATTTATATGGTTCGAATATTATGGTATGTTTATCATTATTTTGATTATTAATGTATGAATAACGTGATTATAAAAAATTATTGGGGGAAAATTAATCTGCCTAAGTTGACCACTGAAGTAACGCACAGCACTGGCCAACTTACATACGTTTTGCTGTATGTCCAAAATAAAATGTTTACGATTTGCGATTTTACGATTTGCTATTTTAAAAATGCCGTTGAAGTCGAGGTTAAAAAAAATTTTAACAAGTTAATTCTCTCATTTTCATTTCGATATAAACTTTGAAGATGCAATTAAATTTTTATACATTTTAAATTTCTTCCTTAACAAAAAATAGAAATGATTTAATTTTTTTACGTTGTGAAAGATATATAAGTCATGTCATCTATTCCTTTGACTTAATCAAATAGATTCTTCTGAAATTGATACTTTATTTAAACAGAATATTAAAGTGGTTCACTAAGTAAATGCACGAGGTTTCCTCTGCTTAGTAATTAACTTTTTGTCATTAATATTTAAAAACTTTCTTAGAGCGTGTAAAAGAATAATTTCATTTGATGCATCTCTTTAACAAAAACAACCATCAAAGCTTTATAAATATTCGATTTTTATTATGACGGTGCATAGCCCTGATGTCTTCTTTTTATTGAATTTTAATTCTTCCTTTTATTTATTGGAGTGTAGTTCTTCAGAAAGTCTTTTAGGCTAGTTAGTATTTTAAAATGAAAGAGGAGTTCTCATAGACAACGGCGTTAACCATGAAAATGTAGAAGGTTCAGGCTATGCATATTTAGTGATGCTTGTATGTCGATTATAAGTTTTATAATTCACAAAATTTTGTACATCTTTTGAGAACAATAAATGTTTAATGATGCATTTTCTTTTTTAGAGTAACAGGTGGAGAATTATTTGAAGATATTGTAGCTAGGGAATATTATAGTGAAGCTGATGCCAGGTATAAGGGTTCACCTAGCTATTATTTTTCTTTATAATGTGAGATTGGGTCATTTTTACTATTTTTTTTTAGTTTTTGTATTGATAACTTGCATGCTGAAACTAAATTTTTGCAATTTGTCTGCCAGACTAACTTTATTCAAAGGAAGGGCACACTGAGGGTTAAATTTAAATGATTTTAATTAGTTGGAATAAAACCAGGGGTCTGTCTTAAGTTTTTTTTTATAGGGGTACCTATTTTGTGAAAATGTAGACATAATTTGTAAAAATTGAAAATTATATTAAAAAATCAACACAAAAATATGGTAAAATAAGAAAATATTTTCAAAAATAGTCACCACAAATGAAAATTATTTATGGTTTTTTAATTTCTATATATGTTTCCCCTTGTAATTCAAAAATAATTTTGCTATTGTAAAATCTTGGGCTTTAAATTGTACCCAAATTTAAAAATCGTCAATAGTTAAATTTCAACTTGAATTTAGTAAAAACATGAATTTAACAGTACTAGCACTAAAAGTTATTTTCATTATGAGAACATTTTCGACTATAGGTCATACAAAAAAAAGTTTCACAGAGAAAAAATGTTTCATAAAAAAATATAGGTCTGATAGAGTAAATTTACAATGTTTAAGATTATGTTCGAATGTTTAGAATGGTGTTCAAATTTTTAATTCCTGTAAAGTTAATAGAGAAAAAGCTCACTTTGTGGCGTAAACGACCAGTTAGGCTTACCACATTGCACTATCTGACCTTTTCGTAAAAGACAGCTGGCAGAAAAGCTCTTCTCCATAGATTGCAACGAGACTGGGGTTTGCTTGTGAACTTGCTTTTTTAAAAGTATTTTCTGAAAGGCACTGCTAAACGGTAGTAAATTTGCCTTGGGCAGACCCCTGAAAACTGCTACATGACTAAACATGTTTTTTGAATGCTCATTAATGAAAGCATGTAAATGCACCTATTATTAAGGGACCATTCAAATATTACGTAAGCATCTGTTGGAGGAGACATGAGACGAGGAGAGAGGCCAAAACATGCTTATGTAATATTTAAACGGCCCGCTACTCCACATAATCAAATCAGGGCTTACTTATTAATACATTTAAAATAAAAGTGTGTGTGTTTTTTACCATTTTTTTCTTAGAGATTTTAATTATTTTATTGTCATGAACAATTTCTGCCTTTATTTGTCTTGGGATTTAATGCGAGCGAAATGATAACTTCTAAAAAGTTAATTTGATAATTAACTTCTTAATATATATATATATACATCAGTTGAGTCCTGATTATCCGAGTTTCTGCTTTAACCGAGCAATCAAATATTTCAAGGATTTTTTTGTTCTAGTTATTTATTTTTTTTAAAACTACCACTGAAAAAAAATCTGAATTTTCTCTTCCAAACACTCATTAAAACAAAATCCAGCAATTTGATTCGATGAAGTAAATGATCGTTAGTATTGTCAATAACGAAAATGAATTTAGCAAAGATGATGTAGACAGTGACGATGAAAATCAACATGTAAAAATCTCTCATATAAATTGACTAAAATCTATCGAAAGTGCTATTGAGTATATAGAACAACAAGAAAAGGCGACATCAGCCTTCCTGTTACTCCTAAAAAAATGGCAAAATATTGGTGCAGAAAAGCGCCAAAGTAACATAAAACAAAAAACGATTAAGGGCTTTTTGAGTAAAAACTCTTTAATTCTCGTAAATTATGCTCGTTAATTGTTTTTAATTATATGTGGCGTACTCGTTTAAATTTCGTATTTGTTAAATGTATTACATTTAACAAATTCGAAAATTACTCATTCTTTTTTTATACTCTTTGCTTTAATCGAGTTTTTTGGTTATGCGAGTTATTTGTGGTTCACATTAATCCGGACAATCGTGACTCACAGTATATGTATTAAGTTTTCATATAATTTTACTGCAGGGGTTAAAAATTATGACGAGTTAGTCACAGATTTAAAGAACCAGTTATAAGAAGTCATTATTGGTCCATTCAAATTTTTCAAATCTATTTTTAATGTTCACAATTATGATATTATGAGGAAACAAAACACTAAACCAAATATAAAAATGCTAAAACAACATAGCATTCCTTTAATGTAGATATTGATTGCTGGTCCTGGAGACCATCAAAAATTTATTTACTAGTTGTCTTGTCAAGTTTTAGTGGTCCCAAACAAACGGTCCTCCGTTAATTTCAAGCCTTACTTAATTAATATAACTTAGTTCTGCTTTATTTTTTTAACGAGATTTTTTAATTACTCACACTTGTACTTTTTTTGTTAACTTTTTAAAATTCTATTTAATAATTGACAGAAGAATTTGAAGCTTGTTAATAAGGATATTTTCCCCTGAAAGGAAGACTTAGAAAACTTGGTCACGAAAAATAATAAAGCATGCTTTATGAACTGTTTTTGATCGTTGAAATTGTTTATATTATTTAACACGTTTTCCTCTCTATTTGATCTTAATTTCAATTCTTATTTTAATTTCATATTTTTAATTGCATAATTTTAATTGCATATTTTTAAATTTCAGTCATTGCATTCAGCAAATTTTAGAAAGTGTTAGCCATTGCCATCAAAACAGTATTGTCCATCGAGATTTAAAGGTAAATCGAATTTTGCATGATAAGAGAATAGAATAAAAACGTTTATCAGTATAATTTTATTGAATGTTTCTTCTCTTTTAGCCAGAAAATTTATTACTAGCTAGTAAAGCTAAAGGTGCAGCTGTAAAACTTGCAGACTTTGGCTTAGCTATTGAGGTACAAGGGGAACAACAAGCTTGGTATGGTATGTTCATTTATGTTGCACACTTAAATTTTTTTTTTACAAAATTGATATTTTTATCTTTTAATAAATTATTTTTCATTTACCTTACTTTGAATATTAACTTTCGTTATTTTCAATGATGAAATTCAGCTAATATGTACCAGCTCTAATATGCAATGACATGGTGCATGGCATTTTTCAAAATTGCCAAAAGGCGCTTATTTTTATTTTTTTATAAGCCCTTAAAGGTGCTGTGGGGGCGGAGTTATCGACCATGCCAACCTTCATCTATCAAAAGGTACCTCGTGATTGAATCAAGTTAGCATGTCTTATATACCAGTGAATTGATGTTTAATTTTCGTAGTGGTAGTTACGCTACAGTGCTTTTTCATTAGGTGTTTTTAAAAAGTGCTTAATTTTCCCTTTTCGAAAATGAGATTTTTTTCCTTTCCCATGTCGATTTTCGCCACATATTTTGCAAAAGCGTGCTTCACGCATTGCTTGATTCAACATTTTCACAATTCATTCAACCATAATCCAATTCATCGTACCGTCAATCCATAACATATGAAAGCAATAGTTTTACATGTTTGAGGGAATACTTGCGAGTCCGCGTGTGCGTTTACTGACTGTGTTCGTTGAGATTCTAGCACTCTCATGTGCAACTCTGCTGCATTTTGCAAGATATTCTCAATCTCATGCTCCATTTTCCAACTTCTGATATGATACCAAAAAATCTCTCGATCATTTTATAATGACTAATTTTAGTCAAGAAGAGTGTTCTTTATCAGAAACCAGTTATTTTATCATGTTCATGTAAAGTCTTTGGAAATAATTTTGCATTTTGTGAATGTAATAGTTTGTTAATGTGATAGTTTGTAAATAAGCATTTAAAAATATTTTTTGAGTGCTTAGAAGGTGATTATTTTTTTGTTGAAAGATTTGACTATGCACCCTAAATGAGTTTTTTTATTTTTTTACCATTTATGTCATTTCTTCAATTATCAAAGATAATAACGTTAGAATTGCGATTTAAATAAAGCCAATTACTGTAGGGAAATTAGAGTATCCACACTTGTATTCTTGCCTATCCGTCTTTACATAACTGATACTCTTTAGTTTAAAGAGATGGCTCTAAAACTCTACCAGCATCCTAAATTTAATAGTAGGTATTTGAATTTTTCTTTTAAAGCAAAAATTAATTAAATATTTTTTAACATCAAGCATTTGTCTAACTTGTTTATTTAAAAAAAAAACATTTTTAATCAATAATTTCTTTAGAAAAATCGTTATTTTATTCATATTTATTTGATGAAGTTACAATTAGGTTATTTTTTGGTGTTGTTCAATAAACTAAATAAAATTTGCATTTGACCATTTAAATTAAATAAATAAGTTTTCTAGCAAGAGAGGCATTTTTCTCGCATTTTATGCACAATGATTAAAATATATAAATTCCTTTTATAAATTTCGATCTAATGATCAGATATAGATTGGAATAGCTCAAGGAAATAACATTAAATATATTAATTAATTAGTGCTAAGTTATATTTTAAGTTACGCCATCAAAGACAAAAACGTCTTTTTTAGAAATAATCTTGCCCTTTTTCCCGGAACAGATTAGAGTTTTGCCTCTCAAAATATGAGGAAGTTGATAGCCCCAATTTGGAAAATATAGTTCCAATAGTTTGGCCAGGAGAGCGATTGAAAGTATGGACTCCTTAATGTTAATTTAATTTCGTTACTTAAGAAGTTGTCTACATATAAGTTGACATATTTGAGGTTAGGCCCTTGAGCCATTGAAATTGAGTCAAATCATTAGATCGAAAGTTATTCGATCTAATGATCATTATATGTTACTAATGCATATACATTTGTATGTTACTGAAACAACTTTATTTACATTTAATAAAATAACTTTAAACAAATAACAGTGAGCAAAAAAATGTAAAAAAAAAAAAAAGAAGAAAAAAAGATATCTCCATACATAACTTTTGTTCTAATGACTGGTCAGTTTTCACGAATTAAATGCTTTCTCTTGATGCTAATTAGTGCTTTCTCTTTAATTTTTTAATCTAGCACATAAACACTCCTTTTCCAGTCATGTAATTCTTCTGTTAATTCTCGGAATTCGGCGAATCAATAATTTATATTCCAACAAAACTTTCTCGGAGTTCCGCTAATCTAAAATTTAAATCTCCTTTACGAGATATTTATTCTGGACTTACCAACTTCCTCTTCTTCCTCCCACCCCCTAAGATCTTATTTACTCTCATTAACAATTTTTTTTACTGCAGATTTGAGATTAACGCGATTCGGATAAACTTCAAGGAAAATATTCCGTGATAACTTCGGCTAGAAATAAGGAACTACTGAGGCACACGCAAAAGTATAAAATTGATGATCTAAAAAATTTGTTCCAAAATGGTTAACATTAAAAGGTTGTTCGCTGAAAAAAAAGGTGTTTTTTTCTCATTTTTTTTATACTTATGTTTAAATGAGTAGCAATTTTGTTTCAAATACCAATTTGTAACATTAATTTTTAACATGATATTATGAGATGTAAATTTTAAATCGCACATTTAGTAATTATTTTTCAAAGCGCTTGATATCATCAAAAATACGTGTTTTAATCTTTTTTCTATTGCAGTTATTAATGTGGTTGATTTTCTCATGGTTTTTAAAGCTCCAATATTATTACTACACGTAAAATTTGAATCGCGCATCTGATAAATCACTTTTTGATTTGAGTCGACACCATCGTGAATCCATGCAGCGTTTCCATCGTCTTATCGGCTATTATTGCTATGAATTTTTTCAGTGTTCTTTTTTTTTTAATTGCTATATTTTTTATACATTATTATTACGACATGCAAAATTCAATTTGTGCATGTTCAATTTGTGAATGTTACTAAACAATAATAAACATAAGATCCATAAAATGTCATGCTTTAAGACCTGATAATAAGCATGCAAAATAATTCAATAAGGAATAACTGATAATATTTGTTACTTGATCATCTAATCAGGTGCATCCCTATTGTTTATTAGGTATGGTTTAATAAGAAGGTTTTGATAACTAATGTCCTTTTGTCGGTTTCAGGTTTTGCTGGCACACCTGGTTACCTATCACCGGAAGTTCTAAAAAAAGATCCTTATGGAAAACCTGTTGATATTTGGGCATGTGGTAATTATTATTTTTACTTAATCTCACATTTTAAATTGTTAGCTTTTTAGATTTCAATAAGATTGTAAAAAGATTTTAATAGTGCTTATGCAGGTCACATTTAACAAATTTCATTTCTAGGAAGAAAAAAAAATGAGTAAAAAATTAAAGTGCCAAATTTTGGAACTTTCAATTTTTTACTCATTTTTTTTCTTCATATTTCTTAAAAAATATTTAATAATTTTTACAGTAATTTTATGTATTTTGAGACAGGGGTGACAAGTTTCTTCCATGTTTAAAAAAAAAAAAAAAAAGCAGAAAAATCCATGGAAAGAATCTCTAAAAGAATTTTTTTTTTTTTGTAATCAAATATTAAAACAGTTTTTTAAACAGTTATTTATTGTAATCTAGCCTAAATAACGGCATTAATTTTCAAGTTATTTAAAAACTAAAAAGCAATGAATAAGATAAAAAATAAAAGAAATTTTATGAATTTCTTAAGAGGAATTTTCGCGGAGGGAAATTTTCATCGCGATTAATTTAAAAGAAAGAAAAAGTAAGTTCAGAGGCAAACTTAGAGTAAGTCATAAAGTTTCAATTGCTGAAAAAAATACCTAAAAATTTTAAAATGCAAACAATTTTTTAGATGAGAACTTCTCCGTTGCGTAATCTTAAGTTATCATCCCATAATTAATTTTTATTTGTATATTTAAAATTTTTCTTTTCAGTATTAGAGACTTTATGGCTTACTCTAGGTTTGTTTGAAGTCACTTTTTCTGCACTTCAAATTTTAAATTAAGAAGAAGAATGAAGAAGAAAAAATTATGAAGAGGAAAGAGAATTTGCAAGGAAAATTTTCTTTTGCAGTATGGCGTCCTCTTAAGAAATAGAAATAACTCCAATTTTTCAATGTTTCATGTAAATTAGTATAGTTAAATCTAATTTTTAAATTATAAATAACTGTTTAAATAACATAATTAAATTTCATTACAAATTAACAAATTACATAGCAAACATATACACTAAAACAAGATCTAATTCAAAATTGCAAATACCTTACTAATTTTTATTATCAGGTACTATTAAGTATAAAAACTCAAAGTTGCTCTTAATTAATATGGTATATAAACTTTGAGCTTCTGTATGAAACTTTAAAAAAATTAAAAGGTTAAGAGGTCTTTAGCTTTCTGGTACCAAATTCATAAATAATATGGTATATAAACTTTGAATTTCTGTATGAAACTTTAAAAAAAATTAAAATAGTTTGAACAATTTCTGCCTTTATT